TGTGTCGCTTAAGTTTCGTCGGAACGAAGTTACGGAAAATTAATTAACACACGGAGACGTAACAATACTTATATGATTTTCTCACTTACCCGAGCAACAGCCAGACACAGAGCTACTGGGTAAGGCATTCGTTTCCATCGTCTAATGTATAAGAAGTATACACCTACCCACATCTGAGGCGTAAGAAATAAAATTAGCGAATATATTTAACAATTCATTCTACAAACAATAACATTAAATAACTACACAATTATACTTAAATTAGGCATTTTTGAGTTTGTGAAATAATATTTTTTGATGTAAATGACAAAATAAATGTTCTCACAAATATATAATATTGTATACTTGAAGTTCTGACCAGTTTTCATTGTTTTTTATCAAGCTTATCAGCACTAGATGAGTTACCATAAAAAGTATCTACGACAGTTGTAGATAGTTATGTACGTATGTGTTATGTTTTGATTCAAGCTTCCTTAAAGATAAACTATTGTAGAAGTACAAGTATTTATATAACTTCAGAAATAACTTTATATGAGGTGTAAGTTTTAGTGGTTCCAAAGCCTTGGATATCATATTTTTCTAAGTTGGTGATTCTGCACATATGAATCTAACGACAACCCAGTATTACAAAAACACAGAAAAAACAACAACATTCAATAAAAAATTTGCGAAAACTAAGTATTATGTAGGTATGGTAATGTCCACAAATACAGAAACAAGGTAGTGATGAATACACAAACCCCACAAAAATCACTACATACAGTACTGTGCAAAAGTCAAAAGTTAGATTTCAGGCTACTTTCAAAGAATAATGGAAGATAAATCACAGATAAAACATCAACATTTTATTACTCTTCATATTTAGTACAACAGAAACACAGTATAAGTGCTTGAGTTCAGCAAACAGTTAATATTTTGTGTGTCCCACTTTTGCTTTAATAACTGCTGGCAGTCTTTCAGGCATTGTTGCAACATATTTAATCAAAATATCCTTTGAGATTTTACTCCAAATGTCTCTAATACACTCCCATAAGGTTTCTTTGAAAGTAACTTTTGATTTGTCAAGTTTTTGATCTATCAAATCCCAGATCTGCTCAATTGGGTTCTGTGTGTGTGTGTGTGTGGGGGGGGGGGTGTTACATCATTTGAATGACTCCGGCAGCTTCTTTCTTAGGTTGGATGAGTTTTTGGAGTCATTATCTTCTTGGTAGTAGAGTCCTTTACCAATAATGCGCAAACCACTGGGTATGCCATGACGGATCAATATCTGATGGTACTTGTGCTGGTCCATTATTCCATCTATTTTGCAAACATCTCTTGTCGCCTCAGCATAAAAGCACCCTCAAACAATCACACTGCCTCCCTCTCCATGCTTTGTGGCAGGTGCTATGCTTTCTTCCGCCGGACGAACAACCTACGCTTTGAACCAAATATTTCAAACTTGGATTCATCCGTCCATAACACCTTTTTCAAATCAACAGTTCAGTTTTTGTACTTTTTTTTTTTTTTTTTTTTTT